AGCGCTTGGACTTGCACCCACCAGACACCGTGCAGGCAATCTACTATCCCTCCTGGATTTGGTCATCACCAGCGAGACACTTCGTTGATCAGATAACAATTAACTCCCCACTGGCACGTAGCGAACATTGTGTCTGATCGTCAGTTTCATCCGATATTTGGCCGGAAATCCCGAACTTCAAACGTGGTTTCGAAACTTCTGCAGTGCCGACTTATCAGGAATGCGCACCTTTCTTGAACAAGTTTAACTGGAACTGGCTTCAGTGGAAGAGATATTTACGGACATTGTCCAAAATTTTCCAGGGGCTGGCGCGATGTTTACCCGAAAAGCAAGCGCATGGTCATATGAGCCGAAGGCTGCCAAAAAGGATTCGGCGAGTTCTGAAATAGATTTACCAAATTTTTTTAAAAATGAGCTGGCATGTCGCAAGATGCGGAACCGCTGTAAGTCAGAAATCCGCCAATGGACCACACGAAAACAAGCCGCCATCCTGGAACTCGCTCGGAAAAACAAAAACGTAATTTTTAAACACATGAGACATAGCCGAAACAACAAGCCATTCATGTTATCCTTGAGGAACAGGAACGGAGAATTTACGAGTGACCCAACACAAGGGTTTACAGAGAACACTGTGGAAGTCTGTATTCAGCCCCAGCGTCCGCGTCACGTCCACTCTTGTCAAGGCGGAACTACGAACAGCCTCTAACCAACTTGGTCTTTACGGTGGAGGACATTCTTCAACTCTTGCACAAGATTAACCCATTCTGCGCGTTGGGGTCCGGCGAGGTCCATCTAAGGACCCAGAAGGAATCGTCGTTGCTTGGAAGGTAGTGACTGTCACGCCAATCTTAAAAACTGGTGACCGACTATGGCCTGGCAGCTACAGGTCTATAAGTTTCACTAGCGTGCCGTGCAAGGTGACGGAAGGCATCCTGAAGGGAGCTATCTTAGATCACCCTACTTCCAGAAACCTGATATCTCCAGCTCAACAGGGATTTCTCCCAAACCCCTCTTGCGTGACAAACATGCTCTCGTTTATAGACGGCTTAACCCAAGCCAAGGACAAAGGACTCATCGGATGCCATACTTTTCGACTTCTCAAAAGCATATGATAGGGTCGCATACGTCTCGCTGCTCCGCAAACCCGAGTCTTACGGGATTCAAGGGGAAATCCTTCATTGCACCAAGGCGTTCTTATCAGACAGGTCATTCCGAGTGAGGATAAGTTCGGCCGGTTTCCGTTGGAGTTCCTCAAGTTTCCGTCCTGGGACGAGTGCTATTGGTGATCTGCGTCAGCGACCTACCAGATGTTTTTGCAAGTCCCTGTCTACTTTTTGCCACTTTCTGTTTACTTCTGAGATCCAGCGTACCGTTTATTTATGCTACAAATTTCTTCAAATCATCATCTTCAATCTCGCTTTCCACGACCCTGGCGACGAACATAACTGTCCGAAATCACTCATGGTCAGCAATGGTTTTTTGGTTCAGTTCAGATAAGCAGGCTTCATCGTATGTACTTTCCGCTGTCAAATTTTTTATCTCCCTGGTTTACAACCTCTTGTGGCCTAATGAGTGTTTTTTTAATTATCCTTCCCCCGTTTTGCTGTTACTTTCCACGACGGAAGGTTAAATTTTACTGTGGCAGACGGCGCGCCTCCAAGAAATCATCGGGAGTATGGGCGCGTGCTTGTGCTGCAGTCCCGGGGAGGTTACTTTAACCACGTATGGTTCTCCAGATGACGGCAGATTGCGTTGTTCTGACGCTTCTCAGATGTGATAAACAACGACGGAACAAAAACGAAAAATCATTTCGGGCAAATCTTTTTAAAGCTGACCTGTAGACACAAATTTACACTTTCATGATAACATGGCATGGGTACCAAACGTCTTATTACGTTTGCCTTTGTGGAAAGCAAACCGTTTTCCCCTATGCAAGAACCGTTTGCCTAGTCCAGGTGAATGGTGGATGAGCAGTATCAAGTGATAAATTGTCATGGACGATTTGGTCGCACAAATGAGGACAGTCATGTCGTGCTTGTCTGCAACGTTTTGTTGTGCTGCCTCACCATTCGCAAAGCTAGCAAGAAGCACGTGTGTGCCACGTATCATATACTTATTTTGGCCGTAGACGTTGTCCGCAAACAGCAAACGCATATTCACCGCTGGTATGCAGGGGATCGCTTTTGACGATGAAGTTTGCTCACTGTGCGGTGGCGATCTTTAGGCTTGTGCCGAAAGTGGGCGTGCATAAAAATAGATTGTTTTTCTGCCCATAACCTGGCCCGTCTAGCAAGCGCAGTTGTTTGCTTGCTACGTTGTCCGCAAAGAGAACAACTTTTGATGTTGACCTGCACCGCAGATGGGAACCCACTACAATGAATCCCGGAATTTCGGTTGCACTCGCATCTTCTGTTCCGTGGGTGTCATACATTACAGTCGTGAGCTATCACCATAATACTGGTACCGATGCTGTAGAGCAGCCGTGTGAGTAAAGAGACGATGATCTGGTGCGAAGCTTGCAAAGACTGCTAGCTGCACTGCTTTCTTTGTCGAGACATCATGCATTTCGGGTACGTCTCGAAATAATTGAAGCCTATTACCCAGTTTGTTTATGTAGAATACTTCGACGTATTCAGAAAAGCCCACTTGAGTGACGCGCAAAATCACAAGCCAGAAATTGTGAATTATCGAAATTTATCAAAAGATACGGTACTATATGTATGAAATACGTAATAAAAGGGGGTTTTCGTCTAAAATATTGTACGGAGTAGTGCAAATCCAAATAAAGTCCGGAGAAGATGACAAATTGACCTTAGTTTTTGAAACACTTTTGGATACAACAAGTGGTAACGCAAAATGGTCAAAAAGTGCGCGTAAAGGATGGCCGACCAATTGGTTCGACGAGTTAAGGGTCAAAAGTTCATGAGGGATTTCAAATGTATACCGAGTCTGTGAGGTACAGGCAGCAAACAGCAGCAGACAAGGGAAGAGTTTGATCGGGGAAAGGAAAGTACAGTGTCAGCCAAAGGAGGTGACGTTCTCTACCAGAACAGGTTGGGAAAAATTATTATTAGAATCAGAACATACAATAAAATTGAACTTTTCCTCTCGTCCAAGGTGAACCCTTCATTTTTAATGGTCTGAAGGAATGGCCGCGGCATGTCTGCTATTTCCGCCATGATGAACTCCCGCATGAGCCACTCGGCGTGCCGGGACACCTTTTGAATGGCATGCTCCAACGTGTCGGAGTGGTGCACCCGATCTTTAAGGCGTTATGACCGACGACAATAATTTGCCAGAATGGTTTGCCAGTCACAGTGGATAACTCTGATACAGTTTACCACAATACTTGACCCACAGGCGTAGGCCTTCAACATCGGCAAACCTTACGTTCTTCAAACCTCATTCTTCAAGCCTAGTTATCCGAAACTAATAAATGTATTAATCGCGATGATTGTACGGAGTAGTGATTTTCGGGATCTCAAAACACAGAATTCAGTATTCGTCCAATCAAGCAAAAATATACACAGCCAAAACTAATCACAGTGATGACACATCGCATGTTTTGGGTCCGCAAAAGCGCTGTAGGCTCTCGAAATCTCAGTGAAATATTTCAGCCACAGAACCAGCTGAAACTTTTGTCCGTTGTAGGAGGTTCACGTTAAATCGCAATTAGCGATATCTAATCACGCCGCTGGCTATTCGCACAATGAGACTGATTTCTCGAAATCTACGGCGTTTTCAGACTTGCCACTTCATAGTGTAGAATGTCTT